TTTTCTAAACACAAACTGCTTAGGGAACTTGCTCAGCAGTCTTGTCTTCTTTTTCTTCCTACTTGTAGCCTCAGTGGGGAGAGATTTTCATCCAGGGTAAGCAGTGGTTGCTCCTCTGGGGGTGGATGCCATGGAAAGGATGCCATTGGTCGCCTTGTGCGATGGAGGCTGGCTGTGATTGCTTTCATTTCTCCTTTGAAAAAGGGGATATTTCTAGTCCCCTTTTGGGATCATTTGGAGTTCTGATTAGATGTCTTAGAGGAAAATACAGGTCATGTGGAAGATTGACACACCAACCAGGGACGTGCTGTAGTTTCAGCTGTTCTGGTAGCTGGGGTCTGTGTGACTAATTTTAAATAATGAGGAGTTCGGAGATGGGGAGCCTCCTATGTTTCCTTAGCCTGAATGCAGTCTGCTTCACAGAGAAAGTTTGGGAGACAGAAAGGGGTCAGAGCGTCTCAGAGGCTGGGGAAGACACCTTTTGCACACAGCCACTTCCTCTCCCTTCTCCTCCAACTCCCCACCCTCTTTTTTATTTTTCCATACGAGTAAAAAGGAGGACACTTACTCCCTTTTTTGCTTCTCTTGTATAGGAGATGCATCGGAGATTTGAGAATGCCCCTGATTCTGCTAAGACAAAAGCTCTGCAAACCGTTATTGAAATGAAGGTAAGTGAGAATAAAGAATCATCCGAGTCAGTTCACACATTTAAGGGATCACACAGTCATGTGTGAGTTTTAGAAGGTGGTATGTAATAACACTTCACTCATTTTGTAGATTGAAAAGAAATAGTAAGACTTAGTGAAAATGACCCCTTAAAAGTACTTCAGTTTCAGTTCCTTTTAGTTGTAGCACGGAACTCAAATTGAACCAAATGGATTTTCCGGAATTTCTTTTTTAAAAATATTTTTTTGGGGAATTGGGGGAGGGGAACAGCGTTGGGGAATCGGCAAAGGAGAACAGACAAGTTGCTGGTTGTTGTCCTTTCGTTCTTCAGTACAGTTATGGAAGACGTCGCCTCACTGGCCCATGCTGGCACTGTGACCACTGCGTTCCTCCCGGCCATGGCAGATCAGTCGCCAGCCACTGGACGGCCACTCATAGCGGCTCTTGGCCACTCACGCTGGCTGCTGGCCGCTCACGCTGGCTGCT